TATATATATGTGTTAAAAAGATTTGACAGTGCTGGGAGGCAAACGTTTGCACGGCTGGAAAGGAACTGTTAGTAGCAACTGACTAGTGTGTGTTGCAGCTTTGCTTTGATTAGCTTTAGCGGAGTTGGTTAATAAAGAGGTGAGAATGGTTTTGTTTTCCTTTGTACCTCAGAGGACAGAAACTCATCAACGCCTGAGAAAGAAAGGATGGAAAGAGCGAGTGAGGGTGGCTTAGTGAGCATGAATTAGTAAGAGAGAGATGTAGAGTGTGGGTGAGCTAGAGAGAGAGGGTGGTCATGTTTGACAGTGTTAGAGTGAAAAGGGATGGGCTTTGTTAGAGAGTGACAGAGGGTGAGCGAGCGTGAGAAACGGTGGGGGTGAATTAGTCAGTGACTGAACGAGTGGTCTAGAGGAAGGAAGAGGAAGATTAGAGGACGGAGAGAGAAAGTGATAAAGAGAGACGGAGAGAGGCCAGAGGGCTTAATGTCGCACACTCACTTAAAGCTGCTGTTGTGTTCTTATGTGTTGAATGAGGTTCCAGAATTACTCTCAAATAAACTTAAGGCATGGTGCACATGTATCTTTATTGGCTATGCTTTCTATTAGAGCTTTGAGTGCAAACTATGCTGCGCGAAATGGATTTTAAAGTGTACCAAATGTCATGTTAAGCCCAAAACCAGTGACGTCTCGCCCTCAAGACAAATCAAATGATGTTACATAATTCATACAGTACTATGTGGAAAAAAAGAGGTCATCCGTATTTATTTAAATTTCTGTAAAAATGGCCATTAAATTCAAGATATTCATTTTTACAGATGTTTCTGAGATTAGATATAATTCATGTTCATAAGGAAGAGGAAAGTCAGTTCATGCTTCTTTCCTAACGATGGTGCAAGTAGAGGTGGGCGATAGAGCAAACATGCAATATCCTTATATATATAGTGTTGAGTTTTTTATATATATATATATATATATATATATATATATATATAAATAAAAGGATGTGTATATATAGGTATGTATATAATGTGTGTGTATTATTGCATTTCATTACATAAAGTCTCAACAACTAAATATATGTGCCCACGCTTTGCCTTTATTACAGCTTCCATTCTGTTTGACTTTCAGTTTTTCAAAGAAATCTGCAGGGATATTTTTTCACACCTCTAAGGTTCAGTCTTAGAAGTTGATTGCATTTTCTGCTTCTCACAATCCAAGTAATCAAGCACATTCAATGATGTTGATGTCTGGACCCTGGGGTGGTCAGTCCATTGTTCTGAGAGCACCAGCAGCTTCTTTTTTCACCTTTTTTGTCTATTTCCCTAACAGCTACACATCCTTTCAGACTCATAGCGTTGAGTTGTCTTCTCACAGTGGAAGTATGAACAAAAACTCCTGTTTTCAGATCTGAAGCCAGTCAGAGAAAATTAATTGGGGGGAAAAATAAGAGTTTACAGTTATTGGAGTTCATGCTTCTTTTCTAACGATGATGCAAGTAGAGGTGGGCGATATGGCAAACATGCAATATCCTGACACTTTTTCATGATACACAATATGGCAAGATATATGCTTTGGAAAAGACTATCAAAAATACTTGAAAAATCTAAAATATGACCAAAAACTATGAATACAATGATTTGTATTGAGCATTTCACATCATGTGCTGCACTAAATCCAATAAACTCATTACAACAGCTACATTTTTCAATATTATGTCCTTGGGACTAATTATTATTATTATTATTATTATTGTAATTGTTATTATTATTGAATATAGATACCGGACTTATTAAACTCTCTTTGTAAGACTTCAACATCATTGAATGTGTTTGGGATTATTAGATCATGAGAAACACAAAGTGCAACCAACTTCTAGGCCTCAACTTTGGTGGTGTGGAAAAATATCCCTGCAGATTTCCTTGAAAAGCTGAAAGCAAGACTCCCAAAAAGAATGGAAGCTGTAATACAGGAAAAGAGTGGACTCAATAAATACTGAACATTTTGATATTGTATATAGTTGTTGAGGCTTCTGTGTTATTTTTTGTTACATATGTTCTGCTTTTTTTTCTCTGATATTGACGCTTAGTGGCTTTTTAGGTGGAGCTTTTTTGTTAAATATTTTCGTTTTTTTCCTGTCACTTAATCGCCTCTTTAAATGGAACTTAACGAAGGGTAGACGCTGACATTTGCACTAGATAAACTCTGCTAGGCTGCTAATCTTAGTCATCGGTTAATCTGAACGCTTCTGTTGAATGATTAGACTTATTCAATGATTATTCAGTGTTAAATATTCATTAGAATGAATATTTGAACTTTAGTCATCATTTCCACAACTCTTACTGCTTTTATTGTATTACTGTTTTGCTATCCGGTGTCGACCAAAGGAGGATGTGTTTCTTTTCCCTTGCTGCTGTGGGCTTGCTTGCTTGGGCCTTGGACCCGGATTTCTGTAAAGCTCCTTTGTGACAGCGGCCTCATAAAGAACTATGCTACTGTGCAGTCATAGTAGTAATTCTTTTCATGTTGTTGTTGTTGTTGTTGTTGTTGTTGTTGTTGTTGTTTTAATAATAATGACTTTTACATTTTTGATGTATGATGAGGTCGTTACTGTCCACGTTATGAGAAATATTGTGATATAAGTTTGAGTTGATATTCACTACCCTTTCTTTGTAAAGGTTCATATGCTACAAAGGTAGGACTGAGTGAACCATTTCTCTGTCCTCTTTCTCTCCAGGTAGAAAACATGCAGCTTTTGTGCCTTTTTTCTCACCTAGTACAATGCGAGCTGATATAATTCAAGGCCATACGCAGCAAAGAGAGCCTCTGAGGCTCCATTCTCAGAATGTTCATTATAATGAAATAATCACATAGAATTAACCATTTCCAGACCCTGCCGAATAGGGATGTGCAGTTTAGCTATTTCTGCTGTTTGAATATCAGTGTTTTAAAGGTATAGCATGTTAGTTCGTTGTTGGGTTAATGCAGTTGGACTATAGAACAACAGTCACACAACTTACACTGTACGCATTCGTCATCATTTTTTAAAATTGTTTAATTTATTGTCATTCTGAGAAGAAATTCTTTTCATAATCCAGGTTCAAGGAGGTTGTATGGCAGAATGTAACATATATAAAATCACACGGGACATTAATGTTAAGTACTGTGCAACTGTCAAAGCTTTTATCTTTGAGAGGTAGAAGAAATCCGAGCTCCACTCTTGCTTCAGATCTGAAAAAATCCATTTGTTTCTCACTGTCATTCCACAATGAGAAGATGGCTCAACACCACGAGTCTGAAAGGATGTGTAGCTGCCAAGAAACTGTTACTCAGGGAAGGAAATGGACAAAAAAGAACCAAACTTGCATTAGATTAGCAAAAATGTGACATCCAAGATGGAGTAAGGTGGAATAAGGTTTTATAGACTGAAGTCTAAGGCCCAGTCCCATTTCTTATTTTTACCCCACCCCTTGTTTTCAAGCGTCAACTTGCCCACCGAGTTACAAGGGGTAGTGGTTGAAATCTTTCCCTATGAAAATGAGACCCTCAAATAAAAAAGAACATCATTAACAGGCTACTAGCGCCGCTCTGTAGGTGACCCTGCCAGTCTGCAGTGACAGCAGAGGCGGGTAAAGTTCAGCAACCTCGCTGCTGGGTTTTAGTTAAATTTAGGGTATCATATGCCTTTAAAGAGGGGGGACGCGACAATTACTTATTATCGCCCATCCCTAATTCTTAAGTGATATGAAGCTGAAGTCAGCTGTTCACCAGCTTCTCGCTCAAATTTTCCATCTTATCCACCATTTAAGCTGGATCTGGAAATTTTGCTAGCTAACTACTGAGACATCAGCATACTACTTGCGATATTTATGCTTGTTATGAAGAAAAGGGCCATAATACATTGAAATGACATTAAACTCAGATAATACAGTGGTTATCGTAATTTTTAAGGAGAAAATTCTCACATTTGTGGGTTTCTTTGGTCTCTTGTGCAGCCATCTTGCCGGTTTTTCTTTTTTTTCCATGACACTCTGTTTGGAGTTTGTCTCTGAAAAGCCTCAGTTTGGAGGGCCATGTAGCCTTACCACTTCGCCCTACCCCTCTGTCTCATCAAAAAGCGGGAGACCCTACCCCTAGACGTGAAAGTGCAAAAATCGAGGGGCAATGGAGGTGAAATGGGATTGGGCGTAAATCTGTAACTGGGAGTAGTCAGATCCGAGAAGCAGGAAATGCAACTAACTTCTAAGAATAGCCTTTCAGATTTCTTTCTTTCTGAAAGCGTAAATGGAAGCTGTAATAAAGGCACAGATTAAATACACTAAATACTGAAAAAATTGACACTGTATTTTGTTGTTGAGGCTTTTGTGTGATTTTCTGCTATTTCTGATGCTGAAAAATGAATAACTTGTACTTGATTGCCATTTTGACTTTTTGCACAGAACAGCACAACAGTAGACTTTCAAGCATACAATAACACTACCAAGACCCTTCACCTCAACCTATACACATTACGACACTAATAATGGAACAGTATGTCCATGCTGAAAGGCGTCATCAATAATTCATACTGTTTCTGTATATAGCTACAGTGCTTGTGACCCTGCAGTTCTGTGTTGAAGAATGACAAGATATTACGCAATTTCATTTTGCGCTTCCACACTGCGCATGCCTTATTCAGATACTCGATTAAGTGGACACATTTTAAGATTTCTGTACATATGAGTCGCTACACCCACGGCCATCAGCTTTCCTGACCTGAAGCACAGCTAGCAGGGCACCTCATCAATCATGTGATTTCCCAAGGCAGTAATGAGATTGATCGTACAGAAAGCTTACATGCATCTAATGAGACACTGACCGAGGTAGCGGAGTGGAAGCAGCCAATACCCCTGATACAACAATGATGAATAGATGAGAGATGGAGAGGAGGAGATGTGGGTGAGTGAGTGAGTGAGTGAGTGAGTAAGCTGTGGATCATTCATTCATGCTGTCTCTCCCCACAGGTGTCCACTGTACCCATGGCTTCAATCGGACCGGCTTTTTGATCTGCGCCTACCTAGTGGAGAAAATGGACTGGAGGTGAGAGGCCATCAGCATGTGTTTTTGCGCTTGCGCGCTGGCTTGCGTCATACGCCCACCTCCCAGACTCTCTGAAAATAAACAGCCCTGAAATAGAAACGATAAAAGATTTAGACCGTGGTCTAGTGTGCGGACCCGGCCAACGCTGAGGGAAAACCGCTGCGGCGCAAAATTGCATCATCCAAAGGGTGAAACGACCCGAAATGTCCAGCAGTATGGAGTCGTTTACTTAACACCAGGATTCTGGAGGTGTGATATAATAATGCACCAGTGATTCACAGTCAGATCAGTCATACAGAGGCTTTGCTCTGTGAAGGGGAAGAAATAATGGAAACGTCTCAGAAGCCTCTGCAGAACGAGATAAATTATTCATTATAGATCTTGAAGGGCTGATGTATCTTTAGGCTCTGAGACACACTCACAAATGGGTTCTGAGAAGGTCACTGTCAGAACAGTCTCCTGTAATCATCCGGTAAGCCATCTTGTTTTGCACATGGGAGGCAGTGGAACATGCTGACAGTGTCACTGTTATTTAAAAGAGGGTGTGGGATGGAAGGAAGATTGTTTGTTTATTTTTCTATTTCGCCTCCCAGTCTTTTGCACTGATGTAGTGGATACCAACTTATGACCTCTCATAGATTGTTAACAGTCATATCTTGTAATGATCCCATCATTGATTGTGACATGTTTACATTGTCATAGACATCGCAGGGTTCTGGAGGGCCAGTGTCCAGCAAAGTCTGGTGATCTCTCTGCTCAGACAAACTTGATTCAACTCCTCTGTTAATTGACAGGGTGAGTGGGTGTGTTTCAGTAGGGGAAATGGCCAAACTGTGCTGGACACTGGCCCTCCAGAATAGCCCTGGCCTGTAAGCAGCTTCTCACACACATACATAAGGCACGGCAAAATTACATTAAGCGCAACATTATATTCTCTCTTTGTCCGTTTTCACCAAGTCTGTTTTTGTTTTGTATCTTTTTGATTGATTGTGTTGTCTTTTGTTTTGTCTCATACTTCATAATACACCATTGCTTGCGTTTATTAATGATTTCCAGAACTACAGTACTGTGCAAAAGTCACGCTATCCATTTCTTTCATTTTTGGTTAAAAGTTATTTACTTTTCAGAAGATATTTCTGGGAAGAGTTTATATAAGATAATCCATTTGCATAAGGAAGGAAAAAGCCAAGGGAAAATAAGTGAAAAGGCAGAGTTTCCAAAACTGGAGTTTAAAGGCTTATCAAGACATAGAGAAATTGAACTGCAAGACATGATAGACCACTAAAGCTGTCTCCATCAGATAAACAGCACTTAAAGCTTTCATCTTTGAGAGAGAGGAGAAATCAAGCTCTGCTCGTGCTTTAGATCTGAAAACATCCACAGGTGTTTCTGTCCGTACTTCCACTGTGACAAGACATCTATGAGTCTAAAACTGCTGGTGCTCTCAGAACAGTGGACAGGCCACTCCAGATCACAGTATGTTAGCAGTTATTTGGATTGTGTGAAGCAGAAAATGCAGCCAGCATCTAAGACTGAACTTTGGAGATTTCTCTGCAGATTTCTTTGAAAAACTGAAAGCAAGTCTCTTAAAAATAATGAAAGCTGTAATAAAGTGAAAGGATGGACACTCTAAATATTGAAAAACACCTCTGATAATGCCACCCCTATCTGTAGTTATCATCCAATATCTGCTTTGGCTCAGTCAATACTGGTGATCAGTGCTGGTGGTGGTGTTTAACAAATCTGTATGATGGTTGGAGACATCAGTGAGAAATCTGTAAGAAAACTTGGTTCTTCAGACAAGCTGACTAACTTTTTAAGATGAGACATTCTTGTTACTTTTTCCTCTTTTTTATTATTATAAATATTTATTTGCATTTATTCTAATGATATATGTGCTTTTTATAAGCCAAAATAAAGATGGTTTTAAAGAATGTGCTTAGGTACCTAAGACATTTGCGCAGAGCTGTATGTTTTGCTTGTTAACTAAATGAAGGGTGGGGTCTGGCTTGTGCCCGGTATTGTATGTTAATGCATAATTTTAAAAGCAGTGTAATTGATATGTAACTTTCTGCATGGCAGTAAGAGGCCGGCTCCAAAACGTTGCTACTTAAGCCTCATTACTGCTGCACAAAACTAAGCAAACTTAGGATACCAAGCAAGCGTTGGCTGATCGACTGTATTATTTCTTTGTATTTCTTTGGTGAAACTCTGCTGTAATGCTCATTGCCTGCTGTAGTGAGGTTTGTTTCTCTCTGTGTTCAGCATTGAGGCGGCCGTAGCCGCGTTTGCCCAGGCGCGCTCACCTGGCATCTACAAAGGAGACTACCTGAAAGAGCTCTTTCGGCGCTATGGTGACGTAGACGACACGCCCGCTGCCCCCAAGCTCCCCGACTGGTGTTTTGAGGACGACAACGACGGTGATGTCGATGATGACGGGAACGTGATTAGTCAAGAGTCTGGACCGAGCTCATCTGGCTCCAATCCAGGCAAGAAGAAGAAAGAGAAACTGAAATTGGTGAGATTTTATTTTATCAGAACACAAATGTCTGTTCTATTGTACATCATTACTTAATCCAGCAGTCGTGTGCTTCAGGCTGATATCTAGAGCCAGTATAGGTTTACTGTCAAACTGAATGGACAGAGTTTGAGTTTGAAAAGTTCAGTTCTTTTTTGATTGTCATATAAGAACATAGCAGTAGACTTGTCTCCATTGTTGCTAGAAGAAATGGTGACTGTTTTATGCATGTTTTCCCTTCCACTGAATGCCAGAGCACTCTGACCCAACAAACACCAGCAAACCCATACGTACTTGTGGGTTAGAAGAAGAGTGTTCTCCAACCTTTACACTGTTCTAGAATGTTCCTCCTCATTCACACTGTGCTAGAATGCTATCATCATAAGACTGGGTATCAGATATCAATAGTTTTGTGGTACAGACTGAATTACTTCAGTGCTACTGAGAAAAAATTCAGTCATTCTGTAATTACATCCTAAATTTCAACATCTAAGTGGTCAGTCTTATCAACATCCGTCAGCCACTAGCCTACTTCCTCATTCATGAGAACGCTGTACTAGAATCTTCTCGTCCATTCACACTGCTCTGGAATCTTCTCATCCGTTTATATTGTTCTAAAATGTTCTCCCCTGCTCACACTGGACTTGAATGTTCTCCTCATTCACTCTATTCTGCAATGTGGTCACTCATTCTCACTCTTCTAAAATATTCTCACAATTTTGGGCCATTCCAGAATCTTGTCATCCATTCACGCTGTTCTAAAATCTTCTCTCACATTCACACTGTTCTAGAATCTGCTTCATTCACACTGTTCTAGAATCTTCTCTTGTATTCACAGTTTATACTGTTCTAGAATCTTCTCCATTCACACTGTTCTAGAATCTTCTCCATTCACACTGTTCTGGAATCTTCTCTTTTATTCACAATTCACACAGTTCTAGAACCTTCTCTTCATCCACACTGGTACATTTTCGAGTATAAATATTTTTTTTTACATTGTAAAACATTTGCCAACATTCACAGTGTTCTAGAACGTTCTCCCCAGTTCACTTTATCCTTGAATGTGGTCTAGAATGTTTTCCCTCATTCACACTATTCTAGAATGTTTCTTCTTCATTCACACTGGTCTAGAATTTTCTTGCCCAGTCACACAGTTTAAATATGTTTCCCTCATGCATACTGTTCTAGAATGTTCTCCCCATTCACACTGTTCTAGAATGTGGTGTCTCATTCACTCAAATATTTTTCTGCTTTTGCTCTGTTTTAGAACCTTTACTCAAATTTGCTCTGTTCTAGAATCTTTTCCGTTTACACCATTCTAAAATATGTGTTTTTTTTTTGTTTTGTTTTTTTTGTTTTTTTACACTGTACATTGTAACAACTGCCAGGTTTGATATGCTGGTGTTGTTGGGATGGTGTGCTCTGGCATTAAATAGGTGAGCTAGTTCCATTTTTAGTGTTGCTACCCGTACAAGAAGTGGAGCCTGTAGTTTCTCTCACCCGAAGCTGAGCAAGCAGCTTTCACAACTCAGTAACCCACTTTCCTTTATTCCACTTGGCTGATGTAGATGTTTTCTTTCTGCTCTGAGCTTTAGACAAGCCGACAAATGAGGAAGCTGCTTATTGTATCAAAGTTGATCAAGCTTTGTTTTGATGCTGCTTTATGACTTCAGCTAAATGAACTGTAAACTCGCTAAACTCACACACTTTTTTGTTTTTTGCTAAGTTTTCAGTATGTTTCCTAACAGCAGCAGCCATGTTCGATTTTTCATCCGTTTAATGAACAACTCAGTGTGTGATAATTGCAGCTGCATCCTCCTGTCTCATTAGAATAGTGCAATTAGCTGGGCCTATGTGGATGTCCCTTGTAATGGCTCTAATGAAATTACTACCGTGTATATCCATCAGGCCTACGGCTCCCCAACGATGGCACCGGAAAACAAATCAAGCATGAGGCAGAAGGAGGGCTTATGTTTCTATTCAGGGGGATCTTTTTTTTTTCTTCCACCTGATTATTAATGTCAGTCATATTTCCTCTCCCAGCTTGGCGGAGGTGCTCGGAGGAAGTTTAACTGAGTTGGCTGTGTGTAGGAGGATATGACAGGCAAAGGGGGCCTGGACGCCACATGCTTTAAAGAGATGGTTCTGCCAAAAATCAAATTTACAGTTTTGCCCTTAACCCAAAAATAATCAATCAGCCAAGACATGTTTGCTGTCTGAAGTTTGCTTCGTTAGTTTTGCACTGGAGTTACAAGGCTAATGCCCTTAATAAGTAATGGAAGCTTATAGCTATCCATTGGCTGTGCAGACTGCATGTCTAAGCCATCACACACTTACCACAAACTGTGTCAAGTTGTTAAGTGATCTCAAATAGACTTGCTTATGTTTTTTCTGACATGGTATGACAGACTGCTGTCTATAAAAATGAACAAAAGTTTGTTTTATAGCTAAAATCAGCAGCTAAGCTTAATGTTTTATGTTATGATCTTCACTTATCAACTACAGTACTGCGCAAGTTAGAGACCACTCTTCATTTATTTAATTTCCAGCCAAAATGGCCAGTAAGTACAAGTAAGTAATTTAAGCAGAAAATATATATTAAACAGAAAATCACACAGAAGCCTCAACAACTGAATATATCATCAGTTTTTTTTTTTCATTATGTAGGTTGTCCAACTTTTTCTTTCATTACAGCTTCCATTCTTTTCAGGAGAATTGCTTTCAGTTTTTCAAAGAAATCTGCAGGGATATTGTTCCACACCTCCGAAGTTCAGCCTTTTAAGTTGGTTGCATTTTGTGCTTCGCACCATCCAAGTAATCCCAAACACATTCAGTGATGTTGAGAACTGGGCTCTGAACTGGTCAGTCCATTGTTCTGAGAACACCAGCACTACTTTGTTTGATCTGCACATGTTCTTTTTTTTTTTGGTCTGCCTCCTTTTCTTAGTAAGGGCTTCTTGACAGCTACACATCCATTCAGACTCATAGTGCTGAGTTGTCTTCTCACTGTGGAAATAAGGACCGAAACGCCTGTGGATTTTTTTCAGATCTGAAGCAAGAGTGGAGCTTGATTTTCTCCTCTCCCTCAAAGATGAAAGTACTGTTTATATGATGGGGACAGTTTTGGTGGTCTAGCGTGTCTTGCATGGCTGTTAGGAGCCCCACTTTCTTTGCAGCTTTTAATAATTTTTTTCTTTTGACTTTTCCCTTTCTTTGTGCAAGTCAGAAAAGGAACAATGGTCATTTAAACGCCTTTGTGCAGTATGATACAGTTGGGGGAAGGGGGCAGTTGTGTAAATTATCTTTATTGTCGTTGTTATTTAAGTTAATTTCTTTCACATCAGGGGGCCGTGTTCCTGGAGGGTGTATCGGTTAAAGGAGTGAATCAGGTGACCACACAACCCAAACTGGGGCAGGTACAGCGGAAGTGCCAGGAGTTCTGCGAATGGGAAAAGTGAGTGGTTGGACGTGACCTCTGTTTTATGTCTATGTGAACAGAGAAAAGCCTTTTCCACTGTCCAGAATGGAAAATATGAGAAATGGTCGAAATTATACAACCCTGCCCTGCTGAACCTTTAGTGTTGTTTCTTTTGCATGCTAACAGCTGATTTAGTATTGTTCAGATACTACAGAGTCTTTATGGAGGGAATATTGGTCCATTTCTATCTTGTAAATATGCCATTGCTAAACCTTTGGGTAGATCAGAAACAATTAGAGAAATTATGCAATCCTTTACAGTCAGAAACAAGAGCTTTATGTGTGCAGATGATCAAATGACTTCTTACTTTTAATTAGGTCACCTCATACATAGTTCCCAATGAAAGAAGAACCCAACTTAAGAGCACTTTATAAGCCTGTCTAGGGCAGTTTACCAAGCACGAAATATTCCCTGCCTCTAAACTGATTTTTGACTTTGAGTTTGCTTGGAAGCGTTCAAAAAAAGTGTTAAATTCTTCTGCAAAATGCCACGCTCTTAAAATGGGGCTAGATGGGGTTGTGCCAGACTTACATCAGTGTGAAGTCTTGTCACACACAGCGTATGGCCGCAAATAGCTCCTTTTCTGATGCCTACAGAGAAGGCGGAAACATTTCTGCTGATGTCCTCTGAACTGTCTAAAAGTATAGTCGTGCCTTAATAAATGACAGCCCTTTTTGTGGCATAAGAATGGCTTTTGTCACATAGCCCGTCCTCCGACTTCATATTGATTAGTTCTGAGGTGTGAACAATGAGTCATGCAGCTCAGAGCGAAGACAAGCAAAGCAAACTTTTTTGGTTTGTGGGAGCACAAATCTGAATCAGCCCGAGGAGATTAGAAAGCAGTTGGTTCCTTTTAATTTAGATCTAGAGGTGCATATAGGGCTGAGTGATATTGTTAAACATGTATATGTACATAATATATGTATTTGAATTCTGAAATCAGAGCACAGGAAGATGAGAGACTTCGAAATAGAGAGACTAACAATTCAAAGAAGTACTGCCTTTATGTTTTAAAGCCTTAATGTTTCTATTGCAGTTTTGCTTGTGTTTGTGAGTATGTATGTATATTATACTGTGCCACACCAAAACGCAAGTGCCATAATGTGAATGGATGCTGCTAAAGATGTGACTGAGAAAGCAGATGTAGCGCAGCTTTATTGCTAACTAAGCTAACTACTGCTGATATAAACTGGCGGTCATTTTGCTCCGCATTTTCAGGTGTTTAAGCAGAGTAATAGAAAAAATTCCACATATTAACGCTCATTTTTCTACTCATAGTTTAAATAACTTATTTTTCCTTCCTCCCTTTCTTTAGTTATACTTTGTAAAGTAGTTAAGTAAATAATTTTAATCTAGTACAGTGTCAGCAACAATATTTTCTATAAAATCTTTTTATATGAGGCCTTATTTTCTCTCAGTTGTTGTTAATATTTGACTTGAGTTTATTTTCTAAAATAAAAGGCTGTGTACATTTAAAATCTGTTTGAGGAAAATAAAAACTAGTTAAAGCTTGTGTTCAGGACAGTAATCTGGGTCGTCTGAGGGTTGACCAGCAGTGTCAAATGGACAGCGTGGGGTGCCGACCTTATCAAGCCAGCGGACCGATATATGCTTGCTATCTGGGATGTTTTATCCACTGAGGAGAAAATGCTTTGTTCAAGAGGGTCCTCATCAGAATCCAGTGTTGTGCCAGTTAGCTGTAGTTTTAACTCACATTTGAAGAGGCAGTTAATGTCACTTATTCAACACCAAAACCATTCATTTCCCATGGCTTTTACTGAATAATAAAACGTTTTCAGATGTATTGCTCTGCTTGCTGCCAAAGTTTTGTGCTGCTGATTTTTAAGCCTCTAAACACCAGTGCCATTGCCTAAAAGAGTAAGCTTACAGCTCCAGCCCTGCATCAACTTCAGGCCAAAGTACCCTTTTTTGGACATTTTTCTGTAGTTTTTTTACTTTATCACAGTTAACCGTAAATCCATTCCTTAACTTGTGGACGCTTTCATATCAAAATGAGTTAGAATGCACATTTCTAATAAATAATATATCTCTACATTTATACGTTCCTTGTAAGTGCCATAATTTTCACTGAACAGCCTTTAATGCAATGAGACATGGAAGAAAACGTAGCTGTGAAGTAGATTCAAAATGTTAACTGTAATAAGAACTAAAATAGTTCTACACTCTAAAAAAAGAGGGTTCTTCAAGCGTTCTTTAGTGAAGAAATTATCACCGAAGTATGATGTATTACTACCTGGCCTGATACTGGAATTACATCCAGTAATTACTGCTTACAACTTTGTGTTTCATTTCAAAACAGCACTGCAGTTTTGCAACCAATTTTTGAAAAGTCAGTGGCTTGTACAGCCAATGCAATATACTGCAGATAGCATCAGCATCATCACCTTCAAAGAAATAATCGTACTACACTTCATATACTGATTACAGTGTGAACTAAGTTGAACTTAAATGTTTAATGCATGTTATCATTAACGATAATGATATCAGAGCACCCCTATATTTCATCTCTTTGTGCGTCTGTCTCAGGTCTGGGTTCCCCGGCGCTCAGCCCGTGTCGATGGACAGGCGAAATATTCGTCTGTTGGAGCAGAACGGCTACAAGGTTAGCTGGAAGGCAGATGGAACACGGTAAGCTCAATATTCCACATTCACACACACTCACACACACGTACACGCGCCTGCCCCTCTGAGCAGTCCTTCACAAGCTGTCCTTCATAAGGTCCTTACGTACACCAGAGACTCTCTTCGCGTCTGTTAGCGCCTGTAGTCGCTGGGGAAGGACCAGAACGCAGCATCCCCATTTGGAATCCGATCAGCAGAGTTTGGCTGTTCTCCCATCTGTGTCAGGGACCGAGTATTTCTCCATTACAGCCTCAGCAGGAGTTAGTGACATCTCCCTCTATTTCACCTCATGCAGATAAGCCAGCGGTGTCCAGTTCAAGTCATAGAAGGCTGGAGTCCAGCAGAGTTTGGTGATTTCCCTACTCAAACTGTGCTGAACTAAAGCCCTCCAGAGCTGGACACACCTGGAGTAATTGGACTTCTAATATGGTTGAAGGAAGATGCAGCAGCAGCTCTAGGACTATCTTGATTGCTTGTTTTGGACTATTTGGATTTTGGATGTCTGTTTCTTCTTGAACTGAGTCAGCACTGTGCCTTTCTGCTTATACAGAAAAGTAGAGTCTAAGATATTTGTCCAAACCCTACATTTCTCACATATTTGGCAGACTCTGGTCTGGTCAAAATTTAATGGGTCCCACCTCAGTGGATTTTGGGCTGCATTTACACCAGTTTAATTTTCCTTGCTACTTTATTCTTCCATCATATTTTCATTACCTTAAGCAGTTTTTAATCTGGAACACGGTAGCAGGACTGACTATAATGAAATGAGTTCACTCCAAGCAGAACCAATATTTACCGTTCTTACATTTCAACTCCAACCAGTTCCTAAACTGGTTAGAACAAAATGCAATATCCATAAAGCCTTTCTTTTTATTTTTTTTTCTTAAATTAGTTCTTGAGAAAGGTCCTAAGAAAAAGTCTGCGCCAGATTCATGATGTGTTCTCAGACCACAGAATTGTTCACACCTTTGTGCTCTTTAGTGTGCGCAGATTCTGTTCTTGGACAAAGAACAAATCCCAAATAAGAAAACACTGGTGAATGTCAGAATCTTCATGAAAACTGAATCTTCGTGAAATTTCAGGCCCATTGTGTGTAAAATGATCAACTGAAATAACGTAAGATGTGATGTTGATCCAGAAACATTTGTCCACTTCTAGGTGAGGCATAAATAATAACAAAGAGCTGCACAGAATGAAAATTAACGTTATTAAGCAGTAACAGATTTAAAATTAAGGTTATTGTTATGGAACTTTTATTGTTGATTGTGTTTTCGGTTGCGTATTTGTTCCTACACGGTTACAAATAAAGGTAGTGTGTAGGTACATTTTTCATTCATCACGGTACAAACAATATAAATGAAAACCCCAGTGACAAGAGGGGAACTGCCCCAGTGACAGTTTTGTACCTTTTTTTTCTGAGAGTGTAGCAAAATATGCTTGTTCTGGGTTTTCTTTTCTGGACGTTAAACCGGTTCAGAGCCCTGCACTAAAATCACTAATGTTAGGAGTACTTTGCAGCACTGAAATGTACAAAATCAGCAACACGTTAGGCTACGTAAAGTTTATTCCAACGTAAAATTTTTGGGATATTAATTATAGGTGGCCTCACAGCAAGAATGGCCTGGGTTCAACTCCCGGCCAGGCGACCAGGGTCATTTCTGTGTGGAGTTTGCATGTTCTCCCCGTGTCTGTGTGGGTTTCCTCCGGGTACTCCGGTTTCCTCCCACAGTCCAAAAACATGCAGTCAGGCCAATTGGACATGCTAAATTGCCCCTAGGTATGAGTGAGTGTGTGAATGTGTATGTCTGTCTGTCTGCCCTGCGATGGACTGGCAACCTGTCCAGGGTGTATCCTGCCTTCTGCCCAATGACAGCTGGGATAGGCTCCAGCACCCCACCGCGACCCAGAAGGATAAGCGGTTTAGATGATGTATGTATGTATGTATGTATGTATGTAATTATAGGTGAATAAATTACTTAAAGTGGAACTGAAACTTAATTTTGAATAGCTGATAAGTAGGTTATTTTTTATTTTTCTGTATAAACGATATGATGATTGTTTATTTGATCTTATTTTTTGCTTGTCAGGGTTGGACAGAAATTTGTCAAGCTACAGTTAAATTAGCGTTAGGTCTTAATTTTACGCTAAGTATTAGCCCTAATTGTCCAGTGGGAGGAAACTGTTTGAGACGTGTGACAGCTCGACTGCAAATCGCTGCACACGCCAGTGACAACTTCTTGGATAACGTGGACGGTTCACCAGTGTAATTTTCTCGCTCCAGTATTTTTAGGCATGTTTGAAATTCTTGGCGCTGAATCTTAAACACCTTTATGTCAATTAGCATAAGCTGCAATGAGCAGTAGCCAATCAGAGCGTGAGAGGAATCTCTGAGAGAGTAAGGCATGAACAACCAAAACATGAACAAAGAGGTTATTGGGGGGAAAAGAATCCGCAAACATTGACTCCTCTGTGCTGGCGATGGCCACTCGCATTCTGTTAACGCCGAGGACAAGGCTATATAAATATCTCCTTGCTGTTTCATGTGAAAACAACAACAGCAGCAAGTGTCTCAGTCTCCAGTTTGGCACATAACACACTTTCTGTGAGTCAGTGGGATTTTGTCATCAGGTCTACTTTGTCACAGATTTCTCCAGGTGAAATATCGTGTAGGGTGTGAGCCTCATCTGTGATCACTAGTGTAGTTTGCACACCGCTATGTCGACAAACAGTTTGCAAGCAATAAATGTAGTTTTGAATGAGCAGTGTAGAGATGTGTAGGGATATAGCGTCTTCTGAGACTTTTAAAGAGGATATATCGTCTTTTACACAAGCAAGCCTTAAAGAAAGCAAAGGATTGCATGCATATGAGTGCATTGAGATTCATCTGCAGGCAGAATGTTTTTATCCCAAATGTAAGCGGTCCTGTTTAATTTGGCTAATTTATTAACCTGTCAGCAGCTGAAACTAAAAAAGCTGACTTGGCTGGCCAACTGATCTTAACATTAATCTGCAAGATTGGACATCAGATTAAAATGAATGTTGGCAAATACAGTAACCTAGAATAAGTTCAGCATACCTTGTTGATGCTTGTTTATATTTTTGAAACTGAGCTGTGAGTGTGTTTTACATAGTTTAAGCCAAAGCTTTTTCAGCTTCAGGAGTGCAATAGCTCAGCTCCATCCTATCACAGGCTTGAATTAAAGTACTTACTGTATGATTAACTGTAAAACTGCAGTATAAATTTCTGAAAATGTCACTTGAATGTCACTTTAAATGATCATGTTTCAGTCAGAAGTAGGGTCAAATCCAGGCAGAATCCCAATCGGCTCTGTACTCCCTAAATAGTGTGCTAGCTATGAAAGTTTAGAAATTCTAGTCTCTACAGCCAAATAGTGCATCATTTATCGAGTATGGATGTGGCTGAGTTCCAAATGACTATTTCTTAGCTATATTAAGCACTGTTGGGGTGCAGGATCCAGTATTTAAATTTCGACGTAGTGCACTATGTAGGGAGCAGGGAGCCTTTTGAGATTTAGGCCCAGCTGGATTGGTGTTAAATACAACTGGGTGGTAATTTGGTGACCAAAAAGTAAAGCAAATGTTTTTGCATTAGACACTGCTGTGTTATCATATGTTCAGTGTTATACGACAATAAGTTTAAAAAATCATGAAATGACCACAATATACAGCAATGGGCGACCCAGTGTTCTCCTCAATCAGCAGTCCATGGTTGCTTGGCAACGATATAATACTCTAAAGGAACTGTATTTCCTGGTGGAATACATGTGTATGTCGATTATTGATAATAACTGAAGTTATGTTCTGCAAAATTGTGTATTTTATCATATTTCGTGTTGGCTGCTGTTTTATAAAAGCAATAAGCCACTTAAGGCTATGCATTACTTGGATTTTATCACATGGAAGGGAGTTTTAGGCACTAAGCTTCACGTCTTGCCTAAGAACACCCTTTAAGTGATACAGTAGCAGTAACGCATGGCCTCTCGCAGCTTATTGCTTTATTAACACCTTTTCATGTCTCCTAGACTAATAATTGTGACTAGTTTTCTGCCACTTCTGTTCTTAATGCACATTTGTTAGGAGTTTTCCCAGAGCTTTTAATTCCCTAGTTGGAATTAATAACGTTTACAGACAGTGGCTAAGCAATGATTGGTTGATTGGTTAATCATAATTTTGCAGATGGTCAGTTATGGGCCTCGAGAGCCATAATCAGGCCAGTCCTGGCCCACAAGCTGTATGTCTGATACCCCAGATCTAGAGCAATACTGCTTTTGGATTGTCTGGTAACTTAAACTACCGCTATCTAAACTAGTGTGAAAGATGCTGCTCTGTGTTGTTGCTGTATTGCCTCGCCGAAATAATGGAGAAGTAGACCACAATGTCGTGTGCCAGTTAACAGTTTGGCACTTGTACAAACACCCTGCCACAGCCATGCTTGCACTGCAGAGGTTTCCTCTAGCGCCCCTCACACTCTCTCAGCCTCTGCCTGGCCTTTTCCCTTTCCTTGAGGACACTGTCCTGTCTGGCAGTTTGGAGTGGTGACAGAAAGCTTCATTTAGCGCCAGCCTTTCCACTTTCAGCACATCCAGGTGACGGGCAGGCTTTCATTAGCCGGCCGCGGAGTAGCACCGCTACTTATGGCAGTGAGCTGTGCAGCTCAGAACCTGATATACACACACGCACACAAACATGACGCTCAGCTCCGCGGGCCTGGACACCACTCCGCTGGCTAATGGTCTCTCATTAGCTCTGAGGGCCTCTGCACTAAGGCTTGGAGAAGAGAAGCCTGACACTAGCTGTCAGAGGAGAGTAGGTGTGTGTGTGTGTGTGTGTGTGTGGAGAGAGAGAGCGCGAGCGAGCGAGACAAATATTGCTACAGGACCTTTGAAATCCATTCTTTAATCCTTCTTTTTAAAAATCGGATTGAACTTCTTATTATAATTGAACATCATGTTAATTGTAATATAACATCTATGTGTTTAGACCAG